ACCCACAGAAAGTTAATGACAGCCAGGAGAGTGGTCTATTACTGGAGGGGGATGGGGGAGGCTGTTGTTTAATCCATCACCAGTTTAAATGTCTTGCTCTTTGAGCAGATATTGTGCCTACTTCTGTGATGTAAACAGCATATGTATAATGATGAGCACACAGTGGGTGCTTACTAAATGTTTCTTAAATTGATTTGAGTTGAACCTGGAACATTGCTAATGGTCAACAAAACAACATTGGGGAGGGAAAGGGAGATTTAAGGACATGATAAATGATGTAGAGACTGAGGAGAAGCTAACAAAGGAATGTTTAGAGATGCTGTCAGAAATTAAAATTGTCTCAGCAACAGAAGTCTCCATTAGGAGAGAGATGTACTTTATACTAATACATTCAAAGATATACATTTTCATTTGAATGGGCCCTTTCCTTTAACCTAGACAAATTTCGACTCCTACATAACTTATTAATTCTTGTCTGTGTTTTCCCATTAATCTTCCAAAGAAAATCTGCCCAATGTTTTGGAGGCCTTCTTTTATTTTTTAATAACTCAAGGGTACCATACACCACTTGGATTATGTATCGTTTATCTCTCATTTTCATTACATGACTTGTCCACTTTGCTTTCTTCTCATATCATCCTTGACAATATCATCCATCTGCACTATTTCTTATATGCAAATTGTCATTGGTGCCCTGCAGTTACTAACTCATCTCCCATTGCACATCTTTCTGTTAACCTTCAGGTTGTTTGTAACTTCAGTCTTTCTGAAATCATTGTACTCAATAGCCATAACAACATTCATGGGAGAATACTTGTGTCAAACGGATGAATTTTTGTTGCAGAAAGTAGTTTGGGATCATCTGAAAGTCTGATCCGGGTTCTTCAGTATAATCTAATTTCCTCCTATGCCTTAATTCTGTGTCTAGCTCCTTAACAATCTATGAGCCTTGTCCAGGAGACACATATATTGGCAGATAGGTAAACTGCGAAAGAACCAGGACTGGGACCCCGCTTTTCTGACTCCAAACTCAGAACTCCTTCTCTCTGTATCATGCAGTGCACCCTCAGTTTACAAAAAATGACTGCTCTGTCTATAACCAATCACTTTCTGTCCCTTCATATGATGTCTGTTTCATCTATTACCATGTCATTTGGCAGTTGCCACATTCTGACTCATGTCCTTAAGAAAGTATTCATAGTGTCCAGAGGATGGTACCTGGGAAGATGAAAGACTTTGTGTTAATGCCATTTGAGATCAGCTGAAGGAACTGGGAATGTTTAATCTGGAGATGAATATAATACTAATGGTATTATATAATTATATATTTATATTATATATTAATATATTATATTATTTATATGTAAATTATATAATTATACAATACATGGAAAGTAATATAATACTAATAGCTAGCTCTTATATAGCACTTAAAAGTGCAGTACACTTTACAAGTATTATCTCATTTGATCCTCACAATAGCCCTGATAACTATTGTTATCCTTATTTTTCAGATGAAGAAACTAAGGCAGAGGCTAGTTGTGACTTGCTCAGGGTCACACAGCTAGTTTGGGGGCCAGATTTGAATGCAGGTCTTCCTCATTACAAGTCCAGCAGATATTGTGCCTACTTCTGTGATGCAGAGAGCATATGTATAAGGATGAGTACACAGTGGGTGCTTACTAAATGTTTCTTAAATTGATTTGAGTTGAGCCGGGAACATTGCTAATGCGCCATCCAGCTGCTTGCAGACACTGTAGATGTGTTCTGGTTTTCTGAAAGGCTTGTCATAAGGAATTGTTCAATTTAATCTCACAGTGAAAAAACTAGGAGCAATATGTGGGCATTACACAGGTAACATTAGGCTTGATGAAAGGATACAAAAATTCCTAATAATTAACATTTCTCCAAAGGTAGAATAGACCATCTACGTTTTCTTTGATTGGAGGTTTTCAACCACAATCTAGATGATCACTTATCAGGTAGCTCGTCAAAAAGACTCTTTCTCAAGTATGGGTTGGACCAGGTGTCCAATGTAGAGCTCTAAAGTTCCATGATTCTGTTTTTCTTTGCAATTGATCAGCCTTCAGCCTCTCTCATATCCCAATCTTGAACCATATTTTTTCCAATATAGTTTTTACCACTTTCTCCTGTGCCCACTTTCTCATTGAAGTTGCTGGATATCAAAGCACATATGGACTTAATTTGGAGAATCTCATTAAATTCTTCATAAATTTTTTTTTTAATCCCTGCAATGGATATTGGGAAGCTATATTTATCTTCACAGAGGTCTATTGGATTACCATCTACAAGGGAAGATGATCAACTCTCCCATGAAATCATTCTTCTTTTTGGAGATAAGTAATCTCTAAAAATAAGGAAAGACTAATCCACAGTTGGAAAAAACCTAAGAAGGGAGAGGAAATTATAGATGGGGAAAATATCCTATTAATGGTTATAGGGGTGATACAAAGTCAAGTTAGAAGGCACAGTAGACAATATTACCTCAAGTTGGTGGTCCTGTCATATGCTACGGTTGTCCTTTCGGGCAGCTGCTGCACTTTTAGATAAGGTTATCTAGAAGAGAACTTTACAGCTGTAAAATACCATACAGAACATTTCATCCAGCCCTTCATTTAAAAAATGAAAAAATTCAGGCCCAAAGGGATGAAGTAACTTTCCTGGATCACATTATTAATGAATAGCAAAGTCAGGACTAAAACAGAGACCTCTTGATTCTCACCTTAGTGTTCTTTTCACCACCTTCTTCTTTGGTTAATTTGCTAGTTTTTTTTTTTTTGAAAAGCAGCATAGAGTAGTGAATAGAGGGCTGGCTTTGTCAGGAAGACTTGATTTTAACTCTTGCTTTTGATTAATAGCTGTGTGAACACAGGCAAATCTTTTAACTTCTTGGTGCCCTTAGCAACTTTCTAGGACTTTATGGTACAGATGACACGCCAATCAGCATCAGTGAAAGGAGTTTCTTACTCCTAAAGTTCCCCTCACTGACTAATCCACTCTCTTTCCCCTCTCCCCCAGAAAAACACACACACACATATTTATATATGCGCTAGAAAATTTTCATATGTAATCAAAAAAAAGAACACTTCAAGTTAATTTTGGAGTAATTATTATGATTGAGAAGGTGACTATCGGGGAAAAGATATCTTAAGTTACAAACACCTTCCTAAATGAGAATAACTGTAGACAGTCATTGACATATCTTAAAGAGACTTAAGATTTAGTACTATAGGATTTAGAGCTAGAAGAAGCCTTGGAGTTCATTTAATCCAAATCATCATTTTATAGGTGAACATACAAGGCTGACAGGTAAAATGATTTAATTGGTGGGAGGGGGAAGCATCATTCAGGTTGTAAATTGCAGAACCAAGATTCAAAACCAGACATTCTGACTACAAATAAATCCAGGGTTCTTGATGCTACTCTGCTGTTAAGAGGTCAAACCTTTCTATGCCTTAACCATGGGTTGCAATCTCACATGGGGTCACAAAAACTTTGTCAACAGGAAAAGGTTTCTGAATGTGCAATGACCAAAAATTAATTCAAAATCAAACATAATGAATCTGAGGTGCTTCTGGTAGTACTTGCTTGTGTTGCATCATGCAACTGCACTGCAGCCTTAGTTCTGAACACAAAGCATGCACACTTTGCACTGCGCATGCTCTCAGGCCATGCAACACCAATGAACCCTGCTGAAAAGGGGTCGGAGTGGAAAAAGTTTAAGAAGCCCTGGTAGACTGTCACTTGACCAAGGACAGCTAAGAGCAGGCTTCTTTGAGTCTGTTGCCATAGCCACTCGTTTATCTAAACAAAGGCCTTGAGATACTCTCAATTAACCTTTCTAGGCCTGAGTTTCCTCATCTGTAAAATGAGTGGCATGGACTTCATGACCTCTAAGGTACCTTCTAGTTCTAAATCTGGGATCCTATTAAAAGGGTCAGAGGTCAGTGAGTGAAACAGAAATGAAAGGGCCAAGAAGGCTCCCTAATGCACAGGACAAAATCCCAAACTATAAAGAACTCGTCATCCCCATTTCCTTTATTTCTTATTCTAAGAAACAGAGAAAGTAATTTATTATTATGATGAAGCCAGTGACTGTTATGCACCTACAGGATAGGTCCTGGTGATCTCATAAATCATTATTTAAAAAAAATCTTTTAGTTAATATCTTGGTGACCTTGGCTAAATTGTTTTCCTTCTCCTCAGTTTCCTTATCTGTCAAAAAATGGAATTGGACTAGCTGTTCTCATGGTCCTTTCCAGCTCCAAACCTGAATTGAATGAGCCTGCAATTTCTTTATGAACAACTTAAGCATGATATTGAATGCGATACTTTCTGAATGGTGAGGGAAAGATGGCTTTTGCTTCTTGGGGCCTGTTCTCTTAGTCAGACCTCAGCGGCACAGGCAGAGGTATTAGAGACATGGCGCCATACTAAATACCGAACACTCATTCAGTAGCAAATTCCTGTCGTGCACATTTTATAGTCTATGGAGTAACGACCGGAGGGGTCAAGTAAGCATTTGTTAAGTAACTGTTATATGCCAGGCACTGTGCTGAGTGTTGGGGATACCAAGAAAGGTAAAAACAAACTGTCCCTGCTCTCAAAGAGCTCTCTGTCTAATGGAGGAGATAACATGTAAACAATGATGTACAGAAAGATTAGAAGGTGTAAATTAAGGGAAGGCACTGTCATTAAGAGAGAAATTTATGTTTTGACAATATGTGACCCTGGGGAGAATTACCTTCCTTTATTCCAATTACCCCCACTCTTTTTGCTGGCCAACTATGCCATCTGGAAGCCTTGAGAGAGACAGACACAGAGAGACAGAGACAGGTATGATTTTTCCTAGGCAGAGGTAGACCAGATCCCTGTAACAGGACATACCTTTATGTGCCAGAGCTCTTTACTCTGAAGTATTCTAATATCGTGAATATTTGTCACAACTCTGAAGAAATGAATTCCCTTCCTATCCACAGGTTCTTATGTAGCTACTCCATTGTTGCGGAAGTGGAGAGCGTGGCCATTTTACTGGAGAGAGCATGGTGTAATGGAAGCCAGAATTCCAAGGTTTGAGGCCTAATTGCCACTGACTAGCTCTGACACCCTGGGCAAATTACTTAACATTTTTAACCCTCGGTTTCCTCATTTGTCAAATGTGGATCTTAATTCTTACCCTATCTACCTCACAGGCATGTTGTGAGGGTCAAATGAGGAAAAAATATTTTAAGACACTGTAACTGCAAAGTAATTTATAAATATAAGCTATTACTGGTACACAGATGAAACAGACCCATGTTTGAACTCCACATTTCTTAAAAGAACATGAGATCAATTAAAAGGGAGTAAGTTTTTATGCTCTTTTAAATATGTATGCTTAGTTTTTTGTTTGTTTTTGTGGTTGAAATTGACTTTTCTTACAAGAGGTTGGTAGGAAGCTTCTGGGTCATATGTTTTTCTGGGGGCAGGCTATAATAGCCTGTCCTGGTTCTAAGTCCAACAGGTTGAAACAAATAATTATTGTATTGAGTTTGATTGTTGTATTCAAATATCTCTCTTAGAACTTCCTAATTATCTCCATAATTTCACATTCATCTTCACTGGAGGCAAAGAACATTGGCTTTAGAGTCAGAAGACCTGGGTTCAAATCCTCTCTCTGACTTCTACTAACTGTGGAGACTTGAAATAATTATTTAACATTCCTGGGCCTCTGTTTCCTCTTCTGTAAACTGGGAGTAGGAGAAGGTTGAGCTAGATGGCCTCTGAGATCCCTTCCAACCCCAGGTCTGTCTATGATCCTATGATCTAATATGATTGTCTGTAGATTTATCTAGGTTAAATTTCAAACTTGATACTGTGTGAGAAATTGAATTCTCTCTGACAGGATTTATAGTAGTTGTTGTCATGTGCATGCACAAATAAGTGTTGGGCTTCTACTGTTTCCTAGGCTGCAACAGCACCCATGTTGTGTTGTGTCTAATAGTTGTAGACAGCATATAAATAGATGGGAGGTCATTGGTGATGGATGACACCCAGAATGTATTTTTGCTATATCCATAAAACCAAACAGATGGAAAATAGGTAATGCCCATATGAAACCCTTATGGGAATGATCACAGGATTGGCGGTTGAAAGAGAAGTAGCAAAGACAACAAGTGAAAGGACTTGATGCCCAGATACTTTACACCTTGTCATCAAAATTTCAGTAATTAGATATTTCCAGTAGCTTCTATTCTCTTGTCTACTCTGATATTTAGAAGTTCTGTAATTTCATCAATGTGAGTACTCTCGCTATTGACATAAACCTCGATATTTCTTTGTGAGTTGCTGTGGGACAAGAAATTCATCATTTGGTGGCCAACTCCCCCATGATAAGCCTCTCAGAATTTAGATAGCACAGTTGTCAGATAACAGGCATGAAGCCCATCATAAGGCTTCTGTAACAGAAGCCTTGCCAGCTTGATAGGACCCGTTACAGCCTATACCCTGCTGGCATAGCCTCTGAGGACCCATGGTCCCTGCCACTCATACTATAATGAGGCATCAAGGGAGCATTTTGGTAGAGAGTTCTCGTATATAGAAAGCTGAAATAATCTTTTGTTGTGTAATTTCTGTTTTTAAATGTAAAAATATTGCATGCTTCATGTATCATTTAGCTTATCTCTCTGCTGAAACTTTGCTACTAAAATACTGGTGTCAACATGTAATATGTATGTCAGCTCTTACATAATTTAGAACAGAAGTTTTAAAGTTAATGAATGACTGGATAAATAAACTAAGGAAATAAATATGAGTGTGTCTTGACCCCAATCACCCAGGACTCAACAAAAGATTTATGTTTGTGGTTCATTACAATGGTATCTGAGCATTTTGATATCTTCACAATGCTGGAACTGTCCTGAGAAGCTATCCATTCTTTCTGTCTGCAGATATTTAAAATGCTGTGTTATCTGATAACTGGGAATGCATCCAATCAACTTAACTTGCATTATGTGACTGTCAGTATTATCCATGAGAATGTATGGAAGATGTTTTCAGCTTCTTGCTCATAATCTATTGCCAATAGTAAGGCAGCATGTAGGGGCATATTTGCTTACTGTGCTTAGGATTAAAAAATGGATTAGTTCTTTTCTTCTTTGTCAGTTGCTTTCTACATATTGAAAGACCTTTCTGCTTTTCTGTGTGGTCACAGCTGTGTTACCCAAGTGTACTTTGGAATAAAGCAAATATATAGTATTGGCATTGTGAGTCATTTGGATTTTGTTCAGATCTGCTTCCTTCAAACCCAAAGACCCAGCCATGTGGAGTGTTATAAATGGAAGAACAAGAGTAAGGCTACCTCTCATTAGTAAGTCTGCATAAATCAACAATTCTCCATTTTCCCATTAGGATGATTTAGATAGAGCTTCTAAAATCAAAGGGCTTGGGTAAAATGTTCAGTGTTTGGGTATATTTTTAAGCGTGTGGCAGCAATGGAGGCTTGCCTAGCAACCTGGAATGTAGCTGTTATTTATATCATTTATTTTTAGAGAAACAAACAGGCATAAGTGGGACTAAGGGTAGGCAATGCAGGTAGCGCCTAAGGCATGACGCGTAGAAGTGCGTAACAAAGGAAACTTTTTTCGTTTCCTTTACAAAATGCGCAATAGAGCCACATTTTTAAAAACTTCCCTTGGGTACACAAATGCCTGGTGTCAGCTGGGCAAACAGACAAGCCTACCCTGAGCACTTTTTCCAGAAGAAGTAGTTAAATAACCCAGCTACAAACACTGATTCCTCGTTTTGTATGTCTTAGTATTTTTTTTCCTTAAGAAGAAACATAAATTGGTTACAAGAGAAGCTTCTATTGATGACTTTGAAATTTTAGCTTAGGGTGGGAAACTTTTTGATATAGCTGCTGAGCCACAGAACAAAACTTTTGTCAGGGTACACATACATAAACAGCTACTTGATGCATTTTCTTTAGGGGAAAATATATGAAATACTCCACTCATTTAGTTTTAAATTAGGACTAGGAAACATAATTCAATAAATAAAACATAATTAAAAATATAGATCAAGCCTAGTATAGCTAGTTAAGGTAAAATACAGAGAGAAAAAGGAATGTAGGAACAAAGAAAAGGGAAATGAAGGTGGTATGGGAAACGGGGGTGCGGAGGGGGAGTGGGGCAGGTAGCCAAGGACAGAGAGACTGAAACACAGAGACAAGAGAGACACAAAAGATACAGAAACAGGAAACAAAGAGAGATGGAAAAAGACAGACTAAGTGAAATAAAGAGATAGATGGAGAGACAGTGAAAGAAAGAGATGGAGAGACAGACACAGAAACAGAGCAAGAGAGAAACAGCAAGAGTGAGAGAGCAAGAGAAAGAGAGAGATAGAGAGACACAGAGAGAGAGACAGAGGTAGAGACAGAATGGAAGAAAGAGACAGATGAAGAGAGACAGAGAGGAAGACAAGGGGAAAGGGGGAGGAGAGAAGGAGCCCGAGTGAGAGAGATATGAGAGAGATGGAGAGAGATACAGAATATATATCTATGTCTATATATGTGTGTATATGTTTATATATATGCATATATACACATGTGTATATATACATATATGTATATATACACATATATACATATGTGTATATATACATATATATACGTATGTGTATATATACATATATATATGTGTATACACACACACACACACACATATATGTATATATATATATGAGGGGTGGGGGAGGAGAGAGGAAATCATCCGATAGCATGGTTTTTAGTTTCTTCACCCATTCTGGATGTAGGATAGCCTGTCAATGTCCTTCCTAAAGCTTGATGCCCATAATTGATCATGATGCACTGATTGCATTACAACCAAGTGGAGTATAGTACCTCCTTTACTCTGGATACTCTGATTCTAAAATAAAATATCAAGATTACACTACCTTTTTTCAATTGGCTGCCATGCCCCATTATTGATTCTTCTCAAGCCTGCACTTCACTAAAGCCCTAGTCGACCTCCCCTCTCCCAATCATCTTATACGTGTTCATTTTTTGAACTCAAATGCAGGACTCCTAATTGGGTTTGATATAATTATTCTTGTCTGTTGAAATCTTTCTGGATTTTGATTCTGTCATCCTATGAATGTGTTAGCTATTTTCCCCAGCTCCTACCATCCATAAATCTGATAATGCGACAGCTACGCTTCCATCCGAGCTATCAATAAAAACATTGAACAGTACAGCAGCAAGGACCAAGCCCTACGGCACTCCACTAGTTGTCCCCGCTCTGGTTTGAAATTAATAAATGACTCAACGTTCTTTTTGAGTGTCGTTGTCTGAATCTATTTAAGTATACTTTTATAGAGCCTGCATATTTCTATCCATTTTGTTCACAAAGATATAGGAAGAGACTTTGCCAAATGGTTTCCTGAAATATAGGCACACTCTTTGTGCGGTATTTAATACTGTAGGTGTTACTAAAATGATATCTTTTTTTAAGTTAAATTTTATTTTCAAGTTCTACTAACTCTCCTGTCCCTCCCCTCCACCTCCTTTAAAAAGCAAGAAAAGCAATGGGATAGTAACTTCTACCAAAAAGGAAATGGAGTCAGTCTGGCATGGTGCCTTTTGATTAGTCCCTATGCTGAATCATAGTGCTCCCCATTTCCAAGCATTCACAAATTTCCTCTTTAACAGAGCATTGCACCATGGGAATTCTTATGTAAATTTAAGAAAAATGAAATAAGCAGAACTGTAAAAATAATATGCACACTAATACACTGTTGGTGGAGTTGTGAATTGATCCAACCATTCTGGAGAGCAATTTGGAACTGTGCCCAAAGGGCTATAAAACTGTACATACTCTTTGATCCAGCAATGCCATTGCTAGGTCTATATTCCAAAGACATAAATAAAGTGAGTGTGTGTGTGTGTGTGTGTGTGTATGTGTGTGAGAAGGACTTATTTGTACAAAAATATTTAGAGTAGCTCTTTTTGTGGTGGCTAAGAATTAGAAGTCAAGAGGATGCCCATCAATTGGCTAAAGAAGATGTGGTATATGATTGTGGTGGAATATTATTGTGCTATAAGAAATGACAAGTAGGACGATTTCAGAAAAACCTGGACTTACATGAACTGATGCAAAGTGAACAGAACTAGGAGAACACTGTACC